TGGAGTTTGTGTTCTCACAGATCACCCTGAAGTAGTTCTCCCACCAGTTCAAAGACACCAAGAAGACCCCACCAACAGCTAGACCCACCCAAATGGCCATCTGGGTGTCAGTGGGATCTTTGATGATGTACAAGACGAGGAACAGGATGAAACCGAGCAGAATGAGGATGAAGGCGGTGATGGAAGGCAGCAGAAATTTGTTCCTTTTCTTAGCAACGCACTGACTGACCATCTGCAGGACAGCAGGGAAGATAGCTACGCTGCTCAGTATCGTCACGTTGGTCACAATGTCCAAGTGTGGCATTGCCACGATGGTGAGAATTGCTGCACCCACTGACACCAGAAACTCCAAGAACAGAACCTGAAGAAGAAGCAGAAGAGGATAAAATTCAACAACAAGGTGAAGAAAATATTCAAAAAACCTGTTTCATCAAAGACGAGATAAGTTTAGGAATGGTTAACTCTTGTCTCACCATCGCAATGGTTGATTTTCTGGGCAGCTTTGATGTTTTGTAGCAGGACTTCCAGATGCTTTTGAAAATTAAGAGGACACTGGGAGTGATTAGAGCACAGCCGATACACAGCAGAGCGACGGGTTTCTGTTCATCTGGGAGGACTTTTGTACCTTCATTTGACAATGTGATGAGGAGAAGGAAAGAAGTCTGGAGAAGAGACAAACAGGGATCACTGTCAAAAATCATATATTTGTGCATCTAATAAAATATGTTTAATCAGAAATCCTGTGGCTCTACAAAGTAAGCGTGTCATTTCTGTCATTTAAGCAAGTACTTTAAATGGCCTCATAAATTCAAGCGTTCCTACTCCAGTGAGTTACTGTAGCTGTGTTCATTTTTACTGTATTTCACTAACAAGGATCACACCATCGTTTTGAAGCTTGATTGTTTATTGGATGCAAATGAGCATTATGTTGGTGGTGACTGAGTTGAACTGTTGCAGTGTGGGGAAATGCTGAGTCAGGGATCAGCAGTGGTTGGAAGTTTAAATAATTTATTTTGTTGTCAGCGAGGTGGCAGGTGAAGGCTTTCTTTTAAGCTCTTTGAGGACCCACAGCGATCTGGTCGGAGTTTACGGTTTGCCTTGAGAGAGCAATTCTAATAGGAGTCATCTATGCGGGATGGGCAGACGTGGTTAATGGCACCAATCCCCTCATCTCCCGGGCCTCGTTGTTGATTAGGCTGTTTAGTGTGGAGGAGATCTGGAGCCAGGTTGTACGTTCCCTCATTGGAGGGCTGAGCGAACCTTGGTAAGTCCATGTTTTCTAAAATTTTCAGACTGGCAAAGCGACTTAGCAATGTCATCTGTTGCTCTCTGCATGAGAGCCGAGAACACACAAGTGAGGAGGTGGAGTCGTATGTAGAGACATGCAACAGGAAGGGGAGTGATTGAGGTGTGGTCCTGCCCCTGAACTTCAGCTCAAGATTTTATCTCCATTAATGTCATATATGTTTAAAAATGTATTTAAAAGTGCAAACCTTGCTACAAAATGCCGATCCAAACACAACGATAGCTACTACTGTCAAAGAGATGATCTTTAGTAGTGTGATAAACTTCCAGGGCGTCTGTTCGTCTTTAATGACTGGAACCTCTCGACAGGTGTCCCACGGCCTCCTGAATAAAAACACAACATCAAAGTCTGAGGTGAGAAAATGGGTCACATGTGCTCTTTGGTAGAAAGTACATAGCTGAAATTATTGGTTGCCTGTCAGGTAATGAACCATGTAGAAGCCAATAATGTAATAACAGCCGATAACGTAATAAATTTGCCCTTTTTACAATGTAGTAGGCTAACTTTTGATTAAAAAATAATAATAACTTCTTTGCAAATGTAATAACTGAGCCAAGAACGTAATAATACATCTATATAGTTTTATTTAAGTTTCATTTATTAGATACAAATGTGAAAAAATCTCTCTCTGTCTCTCTTTCTCCCTCTCCATGTATTTGTCTTTTTAACTTGATGGTTAGAATGATCTCGAGTCCCGTCTGCTGCTTCTTAGTCTTTCAAGCTATCTCCAAATGAAGTGGAAGCACACATGTTTGCAAGCATAGACAATGGTATGATATGACATATGTATGACATGTAACTCACTCTTGAAGATAGTAAAAAAAAAAATCAGTTAAGGATTTTTTGAATTCCAATAATTATCCGCTAGATGGCAACGGTGCGACATTTACTTTTGTGACATTGGTGTGACATTTTGAATAAATAAAGTTATTTGAATTGAATTGAATTGAATTGACTTTCTTCAGTTGTCCAAACTTCCTTGCCTTCTCTCTCACACACATGGTGAAAGTTAATCAGAAAGATAATCAGTGATCAGTTTTCTTTGGTGAACAGTTCATTTTGTTAAAATTCTTGCATTCTTAGTGCAAGAGGAAACAACATTATTGAGAGTGTATTCAAAGTTAACTGACTATAGCTAGCTAACTGTTGGCTAGTTATTAGCATTATTAACTTTTACAGTTGAGTGATGGGGGACCTAATTGGTTCATAATTGTAATAAATCAGGGTTCTCCAGCACCTCACTCAAGACCAACTGGTGGCTCAGTCTTGCAAACACTGTATTTAAAGCCCTACACTGATAGCGGTGGCTGAAATCTTGAAATCACGTCTGCTAAAGCTGATGTACAACTTGGTGGTAACGTCGTGGCCGTGAGTGTCTCTAGAGGCATCAGTGCAGCTCCAACAGGACTATGACAAATGCTTTTTGATGATGAGTAAGTCAACTCAAGCGTCACGATTTTGAGGGGACGCCGTTGCTACGTCCTGGACTTGACACTGCTCAAGATGATTGTGATTTTGTTTTAAAGAATTACAGACGAACCAGAGCTTTCCTCCCGTATAGCGGAATGACAATGAGGTGCAGCAGACTGTTAAACCAGTGGTGCTGCCCAGCTGCTGGCTGTCTTCACTCCAGTGGTGCTTGATGACAGAAGATGAGTTTTTGCTTCCACTGAAAACTACAGCCATAAAGTTATATATTTCAATGCAAAACTTAAAGTGCATTTCTGAACTACAATTGCATCACTCATCTACAGGCTGCTGGATTTGGTTACATCAAGACAGCTGTTAAGACTGACATCTGGTGGTTAAGTGAAGTAACATGCTTTCTTTCTTTCTTTGCTGAGTGAAGGCTTTCATGGAATCAAGGGTGGATGATACCAACCTATTATTCTAAGCAAACCTGTAATTACACAATTGCGAACCGGAACTACCAGCTGCAAATTTGCCTAGAGGCTCATACAATGCCATTTATTTTGCACATTTAAAATACACATTACATAAGAGTGATAAGAAAACTAGTGATACAGCGCAGGACGAGGCAAAAAAGCCCCAATAGGCTTATA